ATCCTTCTGAGGTCGGTAAAATGAGTACCCAGCTTGCTTCGGGGGCGGGGTGGGGTGGTGGAATTAATGTGTAGCCTGCACAATTAACTTGTAAACTGCCCAGAGAGTGCTTGAAGCACTATGGGATGGTGTATTAGCAGCATGCTTTGCTTTTTTTTTTAGTTGCACTTGTTACATGTGTATACTGTGTTACACTCAGGAACAAAGACAAACATAGCACAAACTTTCCAGGTTACTACAGCTGAATTGTCTTTACCTTCCATAATTCCTGTTAACCTTTTGCTTTCAACTGATCATTTATGAATGCCTGTCCCTTTTATTTTGTTACTTTGACTGAAGCTGGGAGCATCTACAAATATATATCCCAAAGAACCAAAATTTTTTGTTAAGAATCTCCCCTATTTAACTCCCCTTGGAAACTCCTGTTCACTACGCCTGGTCGCAAGTTCCCTGGATCTAGCTCAATTTTATTCGTCATCTGTGCTCTGTTCAGAGTCAGGAATCAAAAGTTGTTAGATATCTGTTGTGCTCTCAGGTCACTGGCATATTAAAGGGGTTATGCTCTCCACAGCCATTTTTCAGCTTTGTTAGCAGCCAAGGGCTGCAAGTTCAAGAAGGAAGGTTGTGATCCAATAGCTTAATTTGCAAATTTCCTCATTTCTTTGTATTTTGTAAAGGTCACTATAATGTGCTTTTTAAACTAAAAAGCGGTTCAGCTTTACAAATACGAAGTTTTAGTTAACTGAAAAAGTTGTTTTATACCTTCTAGTAGGCGAATGTGTCTGTGTGTAGATACGAGGCACCCAAAAGCATAACAAAATTGACTCTTCCCCACTCTTCCTAGAGGACACAAGATGAATTTCTGTGCAATTTTCACCCAAAGGTATTTAAACTGTATTGGTGGGGGGTGAGAGTGCTGGGAAGCTATAGCCACTGGGTATACATTTTGCCACTCCTTGACCTATAGAATACCACTAGTCCCATTTTGTTCTTCATGCTGTTTAAAATCTTTGTAAAACTTAATGGGAAATTACCTGGGAATTTGATGTTTAGTATCGGCAGCAGGCTAACAACCAGTTCTGATTCTCTTTATCATTTGTTTCTGGTATGGTGATTAGAATTCTGATCAGCAGGGTCCCAGAACAATGTGAATGACAGTGAATAAACTGAAACTTTGCACAGAAACAGAGAAGACACTGGAAGTTGGTGTATAGGTTGGCATTGGATAATTCTTGGATGGTGTTATACTCATTCCTTAAGGATCACGATTGTGGCGATCTACTCTGAAACCCCTATCCCCTCAGGTCTTCACAAGGTTCTCACCCTTCTTTCTTTGCAGCCACCAGGTATTACAGCCTTAATACCATTTAATCATGGAGACAGGTGTGCTTTTAAAACTTAAGTCATTTATTAGATCAGGGAAGTTAACATCTGGTTAATATTCAATAGGTAAATTATAGGTTGCTAATCACTTATATTTAAATCAATTCTACTTTAACTTTAAAACTCTATTAGCTCTCTGTTCCATTCAGCATTCCATTACAGATCTTTAACTCACTCTTAGTACACTTTTAAGTTTCACACTTTCTCTCACTATCAGAATCTCTCCTCACACTCCATACACCAGCCTTTATATCCAGCCCCTCCCTCTTTGGCTCCACCTTCCGTCCTCTCATTGGCTCCTACTCCACTGTTCTGCTGTGACGGACAGGTGAGGGCAGGGCTGTTCGCTACAACGATCTCAGCTTTTTATTACTTTTGGATCTTCCCTTGTTCCTGAATGTCGAGATGGCTTCACTGTCAGCTTGCCTATGTAAATTATTGTTGATGATTCTAGCATTGAAATCACCACAAACTAGAAGAAGATAGAATACACACTAAATAGAGTATCAGATCTTCTAGATTAGCCCAAACCTCTATTGAAAAGCCAGTAGGTCTTAGTTGGAAGATAAACATTAACACAATTCAAAGTGGCTGGTTTGCAACCTTAGATAGTCAAAACTTGCCAATAATTAGAGTTTAAGTCAGCTATTTCTCTTCCCTCTATCTGTAGGGTAGAGGAGATTGAGATAGTCAAACCTCCACTACCACAACCCAAAGAGGAACTTTTCTGGGCAGAATGTCCCCATGTCCTAAATCCCTGTAGGCTTAAATAATTTTTCTCCAGGTTTCTTGGAGACAAATTATATTGAATGCCTGAAAGTACTGAATAAAGTCTGAGTCAACTAATTTGTTTCTCCATTGTTTCTTGGAGACAAATTATATTGAATGCCCGAAAGTACTGAATAAATTTGTTTCTCCATTATACAATATTCCAGGACAAGACATTCAGAGGTTGGCTTTGTTTCTTACTTCCGGCTCGTTGTGCGAGGCACCACTGTATTCCAGGACAAGACATTAAGAGGTTGGCTTTGTTTCTTACTTCCATATAGTTAATTCTGAGAGGAGGCTGCCAAAGGAGCGTATCTCTTGCCCAGTTGGGTTCAATAGTGGATCCACTGTCAGGATGAGCTTTTCTGTGGAGTTCTCTGCAACCTTGTGATTTAAAATTATTTGGAAATGACAACCTGTTGAGAAAATTAGAGTGAAGGTTTTAATTGTACACCTTTTTGATCCAGAATGATATAGTTAACTAAAAAGGATTATTCCTCCACTATAGAGTTTGTGGTAATGCACTCCCAAGGTATTATTTTGTACTGTTTGCTTTAGCATAGAGATACATAAGTGTTTGACCATAACTTATTATATGGGTTAAGTAGCAGCACAGTTTAAATCCATACCTATCTGGCCAAATAATAAAATGGATAATGACATTTCATTCTTGGCCAAACATTTTAAAGTCTGAAAATCAACAGCTAGTACTCTGAATGTGTTATCAATCAATATTAATTAATACAATTTGGACGTTGTCTGTCTGCTAAATGATCAATAGTAATGAAACTTCTGTTTTGTTTTTTGTTTGTAATGTCCATCTCCTTATGAAGTCCCTTAATCAGTGTCCTTTGGTTGTTTTCAGTATCCTTCGGCTGTTTTCACAGCTAGATTGTATTATTTTCAACTAATCTATTTAATAAGGTTCCTCCATTTTTATTAGTCTCTAATTTTATTCGCTATGGAAGGTGTGAACTATTGTCTTAGAAAATAAGGCTTTAGTATCTATGTTACAACTGTAGAAAGAGAAGAACCATAAATTGCTTCATTTCATGAATAATTAAGAGAGGCTTCATTCTCAGGTTGTTTGTTTTTTAAGTAGACCAACATTTCTGTTTTCTGAATTAAAGAAAGAATTAGTTTGTGCACAAAATAATTGTTTAGATGGCTGAATAGGTGATGTAAATCATGCCAAATGATACTTATCAAGTAGTAAATTACTGTAGTGTGACCATTTGGTAAGGTCTATTATTGTAACGTACTTTCTAGGTGATACAGGGGAAGTACCACTTCTTGGATTTCTGGTCAGTAAAGTGATGTTCTCCTCTGCATCTGGAAGGAAGCTCTGTTCCTGACTTGTCAAACAATCAAGTGCACTGCACCTTCCACTTGGTGTATGGTTGCCTATATTCATTTTATATTGTTTGTGGTTGTATTGGTGGTATGGTGGTGTTCTTGTCCCTTTTTTTCTCTGGGAAGGAGGAAATTGTCTCACCTTGAGCTGTGGGCATTTAAGTTCCATCCATGGTGGTTCTGGGATGTGTGGCAGGAGGCTTGATAGGCAACATGCAACCAGTGTCACAGAATTTGTCCCTTTCCCCATATTTAATTACATCTCTATGCCGTTTAGAATGATAGTAGCTCCTATAAACAGGGAGCTATTTTGTGCCTTTCTGTCATCTCCAGCCCTGAACTATGACCAACAAGCACATTTGTCCCACCTCACCAGTCCTCCTCAGATAAATAACCACAACAATAAAAGCCGTGCCTTAAAAGAAGTTACTACTTAAAGAATGGGCTGCCAAGGGAGAGTAGCCCATAGAAGTATGGGAGACTCATTGGCCCTTGACAATGAACGAGCACTCTAGCTTCCTCATAAACACTTCAGTCTGAAGCTAGGCTGTTTTGTTGTCAAGGGTAATTTATCTTGAAACACTTCACATTTCCAATGTCTCCCCTTGTATTTTTTTCTCAGTTACATGACTGGCCAGTTAGAGGAAGGTTGGTGTGAACCATGAGAAATCAACTGCCCTTTCCATAATTCCAGGTTATAGAAAAAGGTCAACGTTATTTATTGTGTGAACACCCAGTTTTCACTCATCTTTGTGCATCTGTGCAGTTGAATCATCTCATGATGAGTTTGGGAATGTGAACTGGCCTTTTAAAAAGTTGTTTTGTGGAAGAAAGTAAGGAACAGTTAATTTAGCAGTTGACCAATATAGTGAAGTTGTGGAGAAATAGCTACTTAGTAAAATCAAGGACAAGAATTGATAGATTCAAATCACACCAGAGTGTATTTAAATAACCTTCCCAGCTCATAAGGCTAGTTGGGGCAGGTTGATTGACCAAGAAGTTGTGGAAGCTGAATTTTATTTGATCATTACAAGCACAGACTGTTTTTATAATATAATGTGAATATTTTGACAGGGAAAACTGACTCTTCTTTGGAGGTATCGTGCCTTCTGACCTTTTTCTTTTTGTCATATGTGGTATAACTTTGTATTTCTTATGCTGTTGCTGATACTGTTTTCCGTAGCATCTTGCAGAACTCCTGAACTCTTAACAGTTACACAACAGCTTTTGTTCGAATATTCACCATTGGGAACGCTATGCAACATCCACTCTTTGTGTGTTTTTTAATGCAGTTTAAGACAATTTTTGTGGTCTTTGCTTTACAGGACAAGTAGTGAACAGGTAACTTAGCCTCATTGTTGAAAATGCTTGTCATTTTTAAAGAAAAGGGCATTCCCCCCCTTGTCTGATTCATAGCTTTGAGAGCTATATTGTGTAGAAATAGGTGGTCTTCATAATTCTCTGACTTCCTTCTTTTCTCTCTCTCTGTTGTCAAGCCTACAGATTTGGATGCCTTGGTAAGTTCCTCTTCTGACTGCATGTGTATCCCCCCCCCATTCTTTGATGTTGTTTGTTTTATTAAATGCAGTTACCCACTTTATCCAGGATGCTTCTATTCAGATGCAGTTGCTATTGCACATCATAGATGCAGAAACAGTTTTATCGGTTTTTACATTTTAGGAGGTGTTAAGTTAGAAAATAGCATATTCTTTGCTGTGTAAAAGAGTGTTCTCTATATTTTATTACAGCATTTCTGAAGTAAAAGTTGAGAGGATGTGTCGAGTGATCAATCCTCAGATAACTGGATGAATAAAATGAATAAAGTTCTCTGTGGAACAATATGCTTGCAATTTATTTGGTTCCCCTTCTGGGTGCAATAACATCTTTCTTTCTTTCTTTCTTTCTTTCTTTCTTTCTTTCTTTCTTTCTTTCTTTCTTTCTTTCTTTCTTT